CGACTTGGGGCTTGCAGCAAGCAGGGTAGTGCCGTTGATGGAAATTGGCGGACAATCGGCAGTGTTATCACCGGTGGTGGAGATTGTCGTCGTCACGGACGCTGTGGAGTGTCTTCTAGCAACAGCGTGTCCTCATCTGGACGTTGCGCCGTTTATGCCGCAGACAGCCACTGTTGTTCTGCCGGGGAATATCTGGTATGCTATCTGGTAATCAGGCACTACGGAACTGATTGGTTGTAGGATTCGTGAAGTGTCCGCTTGACAGTCAAAGTTACAGTGGAATAACTTTAAGGAAATGAATACCCTGAACGCTTCCGAGATGTAGACCAGTCAATTCAGTAACCGCTGAAGTTACTTGCAACTGAACTTGGCTCGATTCACTATGGACAGCCATGGGCATATCAAACTCGTTCACTTATGTTGGAACGAATACTCCGTGGACCATAAGGCGCATATAGTTTCGCAATGGACCGCTGGCGATTACCGTGCCTAGCCTTCAGGGTTGACTACTGGATCTTCGTCAAGAATACACATTTATATTGAATTAAAACTGGTCGTACATCGATTTACTGACTTCACAATACAAACAAACTTCCTTTGGTTGACAGAGGTCACGAACCGACAACTAGGCCGTCATCATGGTTATAATTGGCTGAATAAGGGCTACGTATACGCGAAACCGTTCTGTTTCCCCCTACCTACATTATCCCTTGTTGATACCTTTCTGTTTCGTGTACTTTGTTGTTCATTGTAGTCTTCCGTTTAAGTATTTGATAAAGTCGCAGTTGAAAGCTTACTTTCGTGAATGTTTGAACTGCCATCAAAATTTCAGTTTGAAAGAGTTTTTACGCGAATGCTAGATTGCTAATAAGGAGTCTGTCCGCAAAGTCTAGCGCCCTAAAATTCAAAAAGACCGTTTTTTTGCTTTTTTACCTGCTTGTTAATAGTCTCATCCCGCCCCGTCCCCCTATTTTTAGATTCGCTTTCCCTGTCAGAGCCTATGGAGATTGCTGAGTTGCGTTCCAAGGCTGATTCCGTCTCACAGAGCCTTCCCGAGGGTCACTCCTTCACCGCCGCCCCCGAAGGCTGGCCAAAGGACGCTGCTGCCTCCTACTGGTATAGCCAAGTGGAGCTGACCACTCATCATCGACCCTTACGACGCATATGGATGGGACCTCAATTCACGTTTCGTATTTACCCTTTCTCTGTGAGCAAGGTCCCGTTGTTTGCTATTCATTTCCCTACCACTGCTTGTCCCCACTTCTTCTCATTTCTCTTAAGGAAGTCCTTCTGCATAGGCCTAAGGAGTAGATACGTGGAAGCCGCTGCAAGCTGACCTATGGCTGCCTTGGTGGTACAGCATGACGCACGTGCACGGCCTTGGTTTGCGACTCTGCGTCTCTGCGTC